AAAGAAATGACATACATAGCAGAGAAGTAAACAAAACAGGCAAAAGAAATGGAGATTGGAGAAATAGAAAAAGTATGAAAAAAGTAACACAAATAATGGACCACATCGGAAGGCTAATTTACACTGGACTAGAAATGATCGATCATTTTTAACCACACATTCATTATTAATATACTGTTCCAAAAGTCAAGCTGACTCTAGATAGATTGAGAAACAACAATTCCCTGTTACTTTTTCTTTTCGATTCAAATAAAATGTATGATTAAATTAGGCCAATAATAATAAAGTAAAAAAGTCTTAGTTGGAAGAATATTTATGTCAACTTTAGGGATATCGTGCACTTGTCATTATAAAATGAACACGTTTCTGGCTATAGTAGTAGTATGACAATGTATATTGGTTCAGTATCATTAGCTAAAACTATATATCATTAACGAAAAGTGACACACGACAACTTACCTTATATAAAAAATTAAAATTTTAATTCCAAATCACATGTAATTAGGCAATCTTCCTAATTAATTAACTACAAATCTCATTTGGATTTGGCATATTCTCCGGACAATACCTTTATGGTTTCTCGCATAATTTTAACTTCTCCCCAACTAATTTTGGCTTTAACTTTAACAGGAAGAGCACAAATTATGGCTTTGTATCGATGTCCCACTCCCTTTTTCTTGTCTTTTCATCTTTTTGCCTTTTTACGTAAAGAATTCAAAGTTTATAGATGAATAAGCCGATTCAACCCAAAATTGGCCAATTTACTGATTCTTTTACTCATCTTAAGGGGCTCTTAAACTTTTTTAAAATTTTATACATAATTCTGAATTTATCATTTGACAAATGTCCTAAACATAACAAGAATCACGTCCTTTTACGTGTAGGGGTGTCGATGAGCTAAGTCGGCTTGACCCTTAGATACACAAGTCGAGCTCGAGTTCAACTCATGTCCACAAACTAAGTTTGATTCGTTATTTTTGACTTATGGGATGATGATTAATTAACTTGTATTTTTAAAAAAAATTAATAAAATAAATTCAAAAGCGAATCGAACCATACAAGAATATGAGTGTTTACCACTATTAGTACAAGATAGAGATCTAACTAAAAAAAATTAAAAACAACTTATATTGTTTATTTTTATTTATTTGTTTATTTTGTTGGAGAGAAAATACCAAATAAAGTGGCTCATCTTTTTCACCGTTTTCTTTCAGTTACCACTGACACACACATATTTATCATCAGATCTCCATTCATTCTTTTCGATTTATTCAGAAGTCACGTCATGGCAACCTCTGTCGTTGGATCAACCGCCGATAGCCTGTCAAAACTCCATATCGGCGGCGGTAATGATTGGGCCTTCACCGCTCCCAACCTCCTCAAGAACCTCTCTCTCCTCTCCCCTGAACTGGTGCGTACAAACGATATCTGTATGCTAACACACAATTGAATTACTGTTTTTGAACATACAATAAAATGTGTATGCATAGGTGGAGCTGGCGAAGATGCTTCTGGAAATGGGCCAGAGCCATCTGTTCGAACATTGGCCCGACCCTGGCGTCGATGATGACGAGAAGCGCAATCTTCTCAATCAGGCGAGTTTTCGGAATTCATCTTTTTTATTCATTTTCAGTTATTTTATGAATTTTGATGGTAAAGTTGCAAACACTTGTACATTGGAACAGATGGAGTTTTTAAAGTTAAGATCTTGTTTTGGTTTTGGATTTGTGTTCTTTATTTTGCTTTTATGCACAGATCATATTGCGAGATTCAAAGTCCCCTACATTTTTTCTTCTGTTAAATATGAATGACTGAACTTGAACTTGATCGAGATTGTTACATGAATGCACTTGTCTTTAAGCATGTTTGTGTATCTTAGGATAAATTTGTATCCCTCTAGCTGTGAATTTTCTCTTGATATAATTTTTTTGACTTTTCCACATGGTGCTTCTCTCTCTTTCTTTTATTTTTATTTTTATTTTTTGGTGCAACAGATCTTGGTGGGAGACTAAAATGTGATATGAATAAATTGCTTAAAATTATTCTAATATATAAAAATCAATCTTTTCTGTCTAAATTGTAAATTGGATTTTACTGATGAAGCTGCCCTTTTCTGGTTCTAATACAGAAAAAAATATTTCCCTTATCTCTTTCTTCCCCACGATTAGTTTGGCATCCATAATTTGAACTGAACTGCTGTCCCTAGTATTTCCATCACGAAGTAAAGCATGTACAGAAAAGCTGATGTCCCAGGGCAAGTTATTGGTTGAGTAAATTTTTTTGTCAAATGTCTTACTGTTCCATTTCTGTTAGGTGGCTCGACTTAACTCAAGTTATCCAGGGGGACTGGCGTCGTACATCAAAACTGCTAGGGAACTATTGGCAGATTCAAAGGCTGGGAAGAATCCATATGATGGCTTTATGCCCTCTGTAAGTTGGCCTTTGTACTTTGCAATTTGCAAACGGTATATACGATCGTGTTCTTTTTTATATTTTTAAAATACAACTAGAGTACTTGCAATTTGCTAACAGTTTATGTGGTCATGTTCTTGTTTATATTCTTAAAATACAACTAGAGTACTTGGCAAGTTAATAGGATTTTTTTGCTAACAGTTTCCACTGTGCAAGATTGTGGATTCTTCTTTTCTAATGTATTCTATAATTTGACATTGTGAACCCCATGTTAAATGGCTAAGGAAGATGATAGTTATTATTATAATTAGTATGGGCAAGTATAAGTGTTCAGTGGAATAGTTGAATTTCAAACTGTGTGAATGAAACTAATGAATAATTTAATAATCCACGAATATCATGCCAAAATGGGAGTTTTATTTTGAAGAAGTGGACAATGATATGCCATAGAAGGTAAGTTATTGACTGTTAGTTTCTTGTGGTAACCACTTTACACTCTTACTTCTATTCTAGAGAAGGTTTCTCCTCAGCTTACTGTGCTAGAAACATTTTGAGTTCTTTTAATTTAGCCATATGTGGTTCATATTCAATGCAAAAAATATGCACTTACAATTCATATATTGATGTTTGAGAGTCGGACAGTTCAGTCTTCTAGATTTCAAAGTAGTGTGTGCTGACTTCTGTTTGAAAGATTTTTTCATCTGCTCTACTTACCTTATTCTTGTGTCCCGTAGTAATCGTTATTGATACTTTGATAACGAAGCACCTGTTAAGCATGAAATGTTCTAGTGTTGATTTGGCATCTTAAGGAGAGCTGATTTCTCCACAATCATTACCTACAGAAACACATTCGCCTATTCATGTTATGCTCACTGCATCTTCTTCATGAAATTTTGATCTTGGTTGACTTCAGAGCATCTTTCTTCATATGAGCACTTAGATTTCTAGAAGAAAGTTTCTTAACTATTGATTTACCTGACTGCCTTCTTTGATCATGTAACATGCCGCGTCATTTATTCTGCAAAGATGTGATGTCCATTTTATATTGGTTGCTTTTTCACATCTTCACAATTGCTTTCTTCTCTGTATGCTGTAAAACCATGGTTTGAGTCTTAAATGATATAAGTACAACAATTCAACAGGTTCCATCTGGGGAGATTCTGACTTTTGGCGACAATGCCTTTATTCACTATGAAGATGCTGGTGTCAAGGAGGCACGGAAGGCTGCATTCATCCTCGTTGCTGGGGGCCTTGGGGAACGTCTTGGCTACAACCACATCTTCACAATTGCTTTCTTCTCTGTATGCTGTAAAACCATGGTTTGAGTCTTAAATGATATAAGTACAACAATTCAACAGGTTCCATCTGGGGAGATTCTGACTTTTGGCGACAATGCCTTTATTCAATATGAAGATGCTGGTGTCAAGGAGGCACGGAAGGCTGCATTCATCCTCGTTGCTGGGGGCCTTGGGGAACGTCTTGGCTACAACGGTATAAAGGTAGGAACAATCACTTGCATGGTCAGATAATTTATTCTATATGGAAAATATGATCTGTCCGGCGATTATGTTTTCCAAGTCTTTGTTTTTGATCTAGAATTTAAGTACTTTAGCAATTATAGGCTAGTTATTGCTGTAAAATGGCATGAATGCTTTTCTGAGTGTAGTATGCCTGACAAATGACAATCCACTTAACTAAAAATCAAGCAACGATGTTAGTGCTTGTCATGAAATGAGTCAGCTGCAATCCCTTGACTGAGATCCTCATCCTTTGCAGGTGGCTCTACCTTCAGAGACAACTTCAGGAACATGCTTCTTACAGCACTACATTGAATCTATTCTAGCCTTACAAGAAACTAGCTGCAGGCTAGCCCAAGGTTTGTTTACCAAGCTTTTTAATTTTGTAGAGCAACTTGGATTGCATAAACTGTCATTGACAACAATGTTATTTCAAATACGATATTACTGTTGCTGTACATGCATTTTAGTTTGCTTCCATGTGTATAAATTTCTGACATTTTGTGTTTGCTGCATATTCAGTCATGCCTTTTTAACCTGCGAGTAGTTTAGGAAAATTTAGAAAATA